GGCTCTTTTCTAGGCAGCGTAAACTAATTTTTTAGGAATGACACAATATGAATGAGATAAAAAAAAGACGCACAGTTGACCAGCTTGACATAGCAAGTAGGTGGCATTGAGGACAAACACCAGGGGCTTGGGTCTGCCGCTCTCCAGCTCATGGATGAGCAGCATCTCGGAGGGCTGCTCCTCCACAGTGTAATCTGAGGAAGAAAACGTAGTATCGCTGCCATTACACTGCAGTATCTTTGGCGGGCACTCATGCTTTAAGCTTGCAAGAGCCATTAAAAAAAAAAAAAAAAAAAAAGAAACTAGATAAACATAAAAGATTCATGTGGGAAATTTAATTACATAAAGCTGTGTAAGGATTAATAACCATTGCCTACACCCAGCTGTAAATAAGATGCAAGGACAGGAAACTTTTATTAATGCCATCATTTAAACGCCTTTGTTTAACCAGGCAACATGGGTCCACATTATTATTTACAATACCTGCACTAGGGAGTAGCCATGATTATCAAGGGGGAAGAATCAACATATTCATACAAAACAAGAACATCTGGGAGCTGCCGAGCACCACAGAGACTTAGATAGGTGCCTTGCCCAATGGTATATTGATGGTGGGGCAGCTCTGTGACAAAGATGAAGCTGAATATAAATCAGAGGGGTATTTATACAAACTTGCGTGGTGTGTTCTAAACCGCATTCGTTTGTGTGATGATTATGCAGCAGCCAGGTGTTGGTAATGCACGATTTCATCCTAACCTCTTTAAATCTGAGGCCGCTAATGTATATGCATGGACAGGCTGCATATGTCTGCGTCCTGCTACCTTCAGGTGGCTGTAGGGATTTAATTACCTAAAAGGAATCCTTTACAGAGCATAAAAGTAGTTGTGGATGACAGGTGCTGGCAGGAATCACTGATTAATCTTTCATTCAGAACAGACAAGCTTAAAAGTGTTCATTTAGGTTACTCAGTTGTAAATGCTGCTGTCATTTCACAACATTTGCACTTTCTTGTGTCATCACCAAACTGTCCTTGACCTCGTCTTGTGCTGCCTAATTTGCATGAAAGTCACCTCTCTTTCTGCCTCTCCTCCATGCACCCTTGAGCAAGGCATGAAAGCATATTTCAAGAGCAGGAAATTGCCCGTAAGTCTGCTACCATGAACAAAGAGGCAAAGTCATTTTTGCTGAATCTTTGATTCTGACGCTCACATTGGATTGCACCTGTCTTACCTCCTTTGACTCCTGTGGAGGTGAGGATGGGAGGCAGGCCTTCCAAGGGGATGAGGTTGGTAGAGCTGTTCACTAAAGCTGTGGTGCCCCAGCCATAAGGACCACAGGCCTCCTACAGGAAGAGGGAGACAGAGGAGTGAGCCCAGGTTTGTTGTGCAAACAATCGAGCATATAGAACCCTAAACGCTGATATTTATGATTTATTTTCCAATTGATCAAGTGTCATGTCCTCTGTAGTCTGTCTGTGCTGTTATTTTTTGGTGATCCTACATTGATAGATGTCCCATGTGGCCGCAGGGTTCTCCTGATCTGTGGTGAACCCACAGGACTTTTAACCGTCCCCCCCAGCGCTCGTCTCATCAGCGGTGAGAACGATGGCCCTCTGACTGGTGTGGTCGGAGCAGACTCTGACTGCTTGTTGGCGAGGATTTCATCAGCGAACCACACCCTCCTTTTTCCCCTTGGAGGTGTCCCTGAGGAGAAAATGTCAGAATTAATTATGCCAAATTTCTTTTAAAATCTGTTAACTTTGACAAGAAATAACAAGAGAGTCCTCACTTTTAATGAGAGTCGAGTGACAGGAAACACAAACTCGTCCCTCCTTGCCATCCAGATGTGTAAGTCTGAACTTCAGACTGGAGCAAAGTGAACAAAATACCTGACGATACACACATGCACACACCACATAAGGACGGACACATACATGACACACGACTATCAAGTCACTTTTTACTTGGGGGGCATCGAATTACATTTTATTTTAAATGTTTCACAAAACATAAACATACATTTTTTCCTCACCTTCCCACAAGCACGGCAGTGGTGCCTCCTCTTAGTAAATGTAAACTTTACCCCACACTTCATGCAGACCTGTGCCTGTGCATCAGGGATCCACACTGGTGCCACCTCCCCGAGGACACTGCCCCGGTCCTTGGACAGGATACCAGCAGGGCTCTGCTGACACTCATTATCAGGATCCCCAGGGGAGGCTGGAGTCTCTCCCACGGCTCCCTCCCCACTGGCTGCCTGGGCCTTGCTGGTGTTTGTCTCATCTCTTCCGTTAGCTTTGGCCGTCTTTAACTGACTCTGGAGCTCCCTGGACACCCTGCCATATGCCTCCTCATGTGAAAGAGTAGAAGGCGCTGCAGTTGCCTCTGAGCTGCAGGGCTGCTCTTGTTGCTGCTGCTCCAGCCCGCTCTCCTCCAGCTCCTTCTCCTCAATCACAGAGTCCTCCTTCGATGGGAGAGCCTGGTGTTTCTTCTCCTCCACCTCCGCCTCCTCCTCTGGCCACGCAGCTTCGGCAGGGCTCAGCACCAGGGGGCCAGATGACTCCCCGAAACAACTTTCGCCCCATGAGGAGATGGCGGTCACAGTGCAGCTGCCCTCCTCCAGCTGGGAAGGTGAAGCAATTTTGGCAGGATGCTCAGATGGTTTCTGCTCGCCATCTGGCGCAAAAGTGGTTCTGACTGTTGCATCTGAAGCAGCTTTAGAAGGAGATTCTGGTCTGATCTGTCCGCAACCCAGTCTAGGTTTTGACACATCTCCATCTTTGAGCACCAGCAGGCAAGGTCTGTTCAGCCAGTGATGCTTTGTGTCCTGAAGAGACGGATTGTCTCCTTCATCTGTTTGGAGGGGAACATGATGATATCATGAACGATCAATGGCTCTATTGCTCTTCCTGTTGAGCACACACACACACACTTACACACACCATGGATGCATACACGCTCATTAATAATGACTGCAGGTGGAAAAGCTGTGTTCACATGTGCTAAGTGGCCATTTAACAGCATGTGTTAATTCATACTATCACCTCTAACACACCTCGCGGCTTTCAATCATCACTAAAGGCAGCACTATCTTGTGGTCGTCCTTGAGAGCTGTGTCTGAGCTCATCACAGGATGTAGAGCTATGTGGACTATTGATACAGAACCAATACTAGTTGTAGAGGAGATTGATGACACCACATAGCTGCTGGTTCCCCAGAGAGGTTCAGTATTGGTTCTGTGTTTAATTGGCTCTGTATAGTGTCTCATATTGAACAATTTGCAGATGTTTTTAAGTTGCAGGTGTTCAATCTAAGAACATTTGCTGTTTGTTTGTTTTTTTTTTTATCTTGGTCCATTTTTATATGCCCTTGGTAATAGACCAAACACACATTAACATGTGCATGGTAATAAAATGATTTGGATCCTCCACTATCATCCACTGATAACCTGAGTGTGTACTCCATGTAAAAGACTATGTGTTTCATTGTAAATATTGTCACTACTCTATTCTGTAACCTCCCCATTCATAATCTTTACACCAGATTCTACAGAAAGGTGAATTACTTGGCAGTTACTGTCTCAGCAGCACTTCCCTAACATGATGACCACATAATAACCATTGCTGCACATTACAGGCACGCAGTGCAAAGGGAGTTAGTGCTTCCAGAGCTGGTGTTTCATTGAGCTCGGTGATACGAGTGATTCATGAATAGTTATGACCCAGGAGAAGACCCCACTGAAGAAGTCATAGGTTCAGCAACCCATTACAGCCTGTTCAGTTCATACATGACATATTTTTTGCTACATTGTTGGACAGGAGGTTTGGCACAAAATAGCAAAAAAAAAGAGACATTTGTCGTAAAGGATCTCGTCTCATTTGTAAAAACAGAGTGAAATAACTTTTCCAGGTTAAACTGCATTGCAGCTCCTTCACAAAAACCATCTCTAAAAAAGAAAAAAAAAAAGAGGAAAAGAAAAGGCGGGCCGTGTCGTTCCTGCTGCGGACCACACAGTGATGATTTCCCGAAACGGCGACGAGGCTGCACCGAGCCGACTCGCTGAGCTGAGCTGAGCTGAGCTGAGCGCTCGCTTCCCGGGACAGTGACGCATTCAACGCACGTGCAAATGTTTAATGCGCTCGCAGGCACCGAGGCCGGCGGCAATGCGACACTCACCCCGCATCCCGTTACATCAGACCACGCAGGACACTTCACTGAGGTGATGTTTATTGGTGGTATTTGAGCGGTCTGCGGACAGCGTGTGTATGTACGCAGCCTGTCCTCACACGGGAATGTGCGCAACACACATACACACACACATATACACACACACATATACACACACACACACACACACAGATACGTTTCAGGTGATGCGGACTATACGCGCAGCCAAATGCTGTATCAGCGGATTCTGTGACAAACACAGACGCGCAGTATCATCATCCTGTAACACAGAGGCAATGAATGGGGAGTAGGCAAAAAAAAGCATCCCCACCCCAGTGATATCAATGCATCTCTTACCCTCTGTTATTGCCCCCAGAAGGCTTTCATTCTCGTCGTCCCGCGCAGTGAAGAACTTCAGCATTTTATCCCGTTACATCTGAGTGCCGAGGAAAACGGATTCAAGCAGCAGTTTCTTGCTGACAAGAGGAGGATGGGATGATTTCGCCTCTCTCCCACCCCCCCTCTTCTGTGTGATCTCCCTCCTCCCCTGTGCCTCTCTGCAGCTCTTTGAGGAAACTCAAGAGGTGTGCAGAAATGTCCCTCCCCAGTTTGGTGTCTACACAGCCAGCAGAACAGCGGGCAAGCCAAGACAACAGAGCTGTGGTGCCAGATATGTAAAGCCTGCCTGCATGCACAATACTGTAGGAAATATGTAAAGGTCTCAGCATCTCAGCATCATTGTAGCAGTAGATTATTTCCATGCAAAACTGCATAACATCCATTTAAACCATTAACAGTATCAGAATCTTCTCAATGACCACAGCACCATCTAAAAAATGTTAAATCACTTTTATTTTGTTTCATAAACAAACAAAAAAAAAATCTTAAGACTAGTTTTAATGACCACTGTAATCCTGACCATGACTGACAATGTGGTGAAGGGCTTTAACCGTTTACCAGGAGGGACTATTTCTTTTATAAGTGCACAAGCCAGTCTGAGGAGGACGTCCTTGGGCCATTGTAAAGTATAAAAGTCTCTTGTTTTGTGGGGATAGTGTCTGATATGTCTGGATAACTAGACTTAAAAACACTGGAGCAGGGGTCTCTCGTTTCATTGCAGTCCAGTCCACCTGCGCATGAACCTCATGTGCGTCAGTTTGCCTCGTTCTTTGAGGCTTCATCGAAGTTCTCCACCAGATCTGCAAAACAACAACATGATGTGAATTACTCAAATCAGAAAAACTGAATTTTTTTTTTTTCCAAAGAGACAAAATACCACTGAGTGGATTTACTGGAACTAAACAATACACTAATTCTGGGATGGCATTATGAAAGTTTGTTTAAATGTGTGTGACTAGACAAAACAAGTCATTACTTGTAGACTTTAATATATCTAATGGTCCATACCTGGAACATCATCGTCCTCTTCCTCAATGTCCTCTGCCTTTGGAGCCTTGCTGTCGAGAGCTGAGATGAAATGTTGAAATTAAAAAAAAAAAAGACATATTATAGCTTTATCTTTGGCTATTAAATGATTGAACCAGGTATGTAATATTTTAGGACAAGTCTGGTGATGGTCTATATTTTTCCTACTGTCAAAAACAATTCATTCTGCTGACGAGTATCGTCTGTGTGGCCAAAACCTGATACAGCTTATTCTTCTGTCATAGAGCTCCGTTGTTCCTGAGTGACATTATCCTTTATTATGACTAACACTGGCACTGCAGTTACTTTTGACACATTACAAATGTGTATTAATCCGCAGCTGAAATAAGTCCCCAGTAAAAGCACTATTTACTCCTGTTTGAGTGATGTTTGCTACAAACTACAGTGCCCAACTTACCCCTGAAAGGAAGATATGGATTAACACATTGTTGGTTCTTGTATTTTCATGGGATTTGTTGGCAAAAGGAAATATATATAATAACACAGTACCTATCTTTTTATGAACAAAGATGCCCTTGGTCCTAAAGAAGCAAGAGCCGTTACTACGCTTCAACCAAAACACACTGCTTAAGAATGGACTGTAAACCCAACAGAGGAACAACATCCTTCACAGATTACAGAGTGATAGACTTCACGTTTCTACTAATCAGTGACCATCACTGACAGTGGTGCTGCGACCTGCATAATCCCCTCGCTCTTCTGACCTTACTGCACACAATACAATAATCCATAGTCAAGTAGTCATTTATTCATACAGCCTGAAATCTGAAATCCGTTTCATAGGACTTTACAAATTGTACAACATACTACAGCCGCCATCTTTAGACCCTTTCACTTTCATGGAAAAAGGGAGAAAGTTTAGGGAGAGCAACAGAGACACTGAGTTCATGATATTTGTGCCAATAACTAATGTTTGGTCACTGGCTGGATCCTCTGTGTTTACACCAGTCCCCACCACAACCTGCTCCCGACGGCTCAACATCTTACCCATGAGGACGTCACCCTCAAGCTGCAATAAATATTTTTACACAAGAACGAGACCTCAAACCAAGTTGTCCCAGCCCACAGTCCATAGTATCAAGCATGCTGCATTTATACACGTTGTATCCAAGCTGCACTAGACAAGACAGGTATGTAAATACACACCATCCTTATCATCTTAAACCACAAAGGAGGTGTTGTAAGAGTTCATCTTTCCTACGAATGACGTTGTGGTGATTAGTCACAGGAAGTGACTAATCTTCACTAAAAGGCAAACTATAAACCGTCTCCTTGACAGCAATGAAAACGGGACGTTCCAACATTGGCGCGCCATCCCTCTGAGTTGATGCAAAAATGATTTTTAAATTCATATTTTTTTCGTCAGTCAGCTCTCACCTTTTGCAGATTTAAATCAAGGCTCGTTGCACAGTTATGACACAACTTCTCACCCTCCTGTTTTATATGAACTGTCAAAAGTCACAGGTCTGGTACTGTAGCTACAACAAGCCCACCCACCTTGCCGTGGGAACTGTTCTGCCAGTTTGCGCAGGCTGCTGAGGCTGTCCGCCCCCAGCTGACTGAGGATGCCCGGAAGCATCTCCGTCAGCTGCTTGGTCTCAGCGTGGCCCGTGATGGCGAAGGTGTTGGCGGACAGAGAGGCCTGAACTTTGGGGTTGTTGAAGTGGATCACAGTCCCGTCGTCCTTGATCATGTTCACCTGTGAAAAGAAGACCACTCAGTAAACACACAAACAAACAAACACACACACACACACACACACAAGCACACGCAGTCACATGTATGTACCAAAAAGGTGTGTTAACGACTAAGATTTCCTTGTATAGTAGATCCATATCAATTTACCTCCTCAATTCCAGCAATATTGTTGACAGCCAATTTCTTTAATGAACTCTGAAGCTTTTTGTCATCAGCTGTTGCAGTTCTGTGAACCACCTTCTTCTTTCTGCGCGCAGAGCCCTGAAACAAAAGTGGACAGAGGCCTCAGACAGCACCAGGAGGAGAAAAACAGGAGGTAATGGTGGCGACAGCGTGTTGAAGAAATTAATTTTAATCATTTAATGCAAAAAGCTCTTAATTCAACACTTATAAATGAATCTGTTTATTGTACATTCTGTTCAAATTCTGTTGAGCAGCTTGGCACTGCTGTCTTTGAGGGGAGTTGACATAAATCCTGCAGCAGCTTGTTGCTTTGTGTTATACGGCTAAATAATCACTTTACATGGACCAGACTCTGTTGTTTTATTGCAAAAAACTCAAATATTATATTTGAATAAATCTTAATACGCGCTATGATCATTTGAAAGTGGAAATGTAAAGTTCATTGTGAAACACTGCGTTTATCTGTATTCATGCTGCTGTAAATTAAAAAAGCATCATGATGCCACAACAACATATACAACAATTCAAACTTTGAATTACGGTAGCAACTTCATTTTTTTTGGCCTTTTTACGCCTTTATTAGATAGAACAAGTAAAACAAGAAATTCAGGGAGAGAGTGGAGGAAGGACATGCAGCAAATGGTAGGGACACTAACAAGGGACTCTCTGCCCAGGGCATTTTGAGCCTGTGTGGCATGTGCCCTAAAAATTCAGCTATCAGGTTGCCCCCAACTCACAATTATTTTCATTTTTACTGAATCTGTAGCAATAGTTTAGTCCATGAAATATTGGAGAAATGCTCATCAGAATTTCCCAGAGACCAACAGTCTAAAAAGTATTCTGCCATATAAAACATGCAAAACCTCCACATTTAAGAAGCTGTAATCAGATCCTGTATTTGCATTAAAACATGACTGACACAATTTGTAGGAGACACAATGATTCAGCTACCACAATAGTCACCTGTCGATGAACAAATCTATTAATCGAGTAATTGTTTCAGTGCTACAGACAGCATCATTTGATGTAGATTCTCAAAAATGACTATGAATAATAAGTGTGAATTTTAGCAATAAACAGAAGGACAGAGGAACACTTTGTGCTTCCAGTTGGTGAGACAGGTGTGTAGGAACAGGATGAATGGATCTGAAGTAGGAAACACAAAAGAATCCCACTGTCTAACTTGCAATAATCAATTTATTTGCAATGTTTCAGTGCTAGACCTTCATCAGGCACCAGGCATTAAACTCCATCACTGAAACATTGCATATGAATTGATTATTGAAAGTCAGACTGTGAGCGGGATTTTGTCTTTGTCAGTAGGAGTGTAAGCCACATCTTCAGACACAGTGTATCGTGGCACCACCCTAATCCAACTCTACATAAATGCTGTTAACACTCCATAAAACTTAAAAACACGAAAAAAAAAAAAATACAGACATCACTATTTATAGCAGTGCCAATGCCTTAATTTAAAGTGACAGATGTCTGGTTTAGCTTTCTTTATCTGACATACTGAGCGTGCGCGCACACACACACACACACACACACACACACACACACTTACAAAATGCCAGGAATGCCCCAGCTCAGTTAACATTACACTACATACCACAATCAAAACAGTGGACCACTTGCTGGGTGTCAACTCACCTTTCCACCTATCCGGACCTGGGCTTGAAGTTTTGCCAGTTTCTCTTGATTCATGTTCTCACCTACAGCGCCACAGAGAGATGCAGATGATGATGAAAACAACATCAAAGGTAGGTGTAAGTAGCTAAACGACAAACATGCTGCAACATTAGCTGCAGCAAACAACATGAGCTGACCAAGACACACACAGAGACTCAGCTGATTCAACAATGAACCATCGAGACAGACCGACAGAAGAGACGGGACAAAGAGGTCTGCGATAATATCTGAGACTAGCTCCAACTTGTCTGGTCAACCTGTTCTGTGTGTGTGTGTGTGTGTGTGTGTGTGTGTGTGTGTGTGTGTGTGTGTGTTTAGCTACTGCAGAGATGAAAACACAACACGGGGGCCTAACGGACTGAACACACACACCCACACACACACACACACTGTCCGACAGCTTCGCTCCGACCACACACCAACGACCACGCACTTCACACACACACACACATACACACACCGCACACTGCGAGCGCTTATCAACATTTATCATCACAAACCTGCTCAGACGTCCACACACAAACACACACATGCGCCGCTGAAAGATGGAGGTTATGAGGAAGAGATGACGTCACATACCATATGGATGTTTTCCTTCTTCTTTTTCTTCTTCTTCCTCGTCGTTTCCGACCATGTGGAGGACTTTGGGTGTTGTGCTGCCACCCAAAGGACACTTTATGGACGACACTAATAAACGCCAGTCCGCTATAAAGTGATAGTTCCTCACGTGAGTGTGAAAAAACTTCCCCCACCGTAAGATACTGACTGTTGACGATATCATACAGGATTTAATGGCGAAAAAAGTAAGAGAAGCTCCAAAGGAACTTCAGAAACTAAGCACTAAGAATGTGCCTCTGGAGTAATAATATATATTTAGTGTTTAATTATAATCAATAAAACGATACATAAAGAAAAAACTGTAAATTCATTAATTAATTTAGTATTTAAGTTACAGTAAATGCAATAAAGATAGGTACATTAACCAAATTATCACTCTATTTCCTGAATATGTCTTTAACTTATTTTTATATATTCCACCCCCTATTTATTTTATTTTTTTATTTACCCACAGAGCAGCAATAGGAGCTGTGGCTGCCCAGACTCCTGCCAATACATAACCCATATTATTATTATTTTACTTTGTTTCATGATTAGAATGCAAATTTAGTTACAGTAATCAATGTACCTTTTTTAAAAAAAAAAAATCATCATAATTAATTATTAACTGATTATAATTGATCAATTATAACTGATTATAAGTGAACACTGTAGAATGTCTCCCTAATGATTCCAAACAGACCTCCTCCTCAAAGGATGTTTTTTGTGTAGAGAATAGTCCCTCCTAACACACATTATGGTAACTCCTACCCATTATAACATACATACATATATATATATATATATATATACACACATATTCAATAGAATTCAATTTACTTATCTTTTTTTCACCTTTATTACACAGTTTAACCTAGAGATTGAAAATTGAAAACATTCCACAAGAGGAAGATGACATACTTTACTTTATACTTCATCGCATTATACTGTAATGTAGATAGATAGATAGATAGATAGATAGATAGATATATGTATGTTACAATAATCATCACTTGAATAAATATGAGTAAATACTTGATCAAAGCTGATGATGCATATTACAGTGGTGTTGTATTCTGCACATTCTGCTGCAGACAGCTGTGTTCTGCTAAACCTACCTCAACTGCATTAACCTGCTGAAAGTGTGCACATCATAATCCAGACCTCACATGTAGCCTGTACACAACTGATGAATCCATATCATCTTACGATTCGCACGGGGGAGCAAAAACACAGATCGATACTGTGTTTATGACCAGAGCTACTGCCAGTAACAGTCGTGATGTAATAAGACAAAGAGAATCACACACCTTCAGTAAGAATCCTTCGATGACAGCTGGAGCAGCTGTATGGACATTTCAGCAGGATTAATAACAAAGGCAGTAACTTTTTACTGTACCAAATGGACAGTAAATGAATTATTAAACCAGCCTAAGTCTGTCTGTCATATTTTATGAACACGGTGAACACTTTAGACAGATATTGTTCAGAGCTGCTGATGCATAAAAACAGCTGGAGAAAAATTAATCCCAGGTTACACAATACACCACAATACAACATGGTGATCAATTTGCAAAGGCAACATGAAAACAGACTCGTCATTATGTCGTGTGTACGATATTCCAAATGAGCTTATTTCAACAGAGTTCTCCACAGCTTCACAGCATCCTCCTGTTTTTTTTTTCCTGTTCTCGGCTCTCGGATTCAGAACCATTCGACCCAGGGTTCAGGCGATCGATTTGATGGCGGCATCTGGGCAACGGCAGACGGGCAGGCCGCCACCAGAGTTGCTGGTCTCCACAGAGCTGCGGAGCGTGCTGCACTGCCAGTTGTTTAGCTTATGAGACTTGGAGGGCCAGCAGCACTGGAACAGCATGAAGATTTTCCTCAGGATAGCCCTCCTCAGCAGGATGTAGACCCAGGGGTCCAGGATCTGGTTCCAGGTGGCCATACGTACCACCATCAGCAGAGTGACAACTGCAGGCTCATCTTTGGCGCTGGTGCTAAGAATGATGACATGAATCTGGTGGAGTGGTCATAAAATAATGGACAGTGAAATTAGAAGTAATTTATTATATGTATATAGAACTAATTTTTGAGGAGGCAATATTGCAGTTTGTGCACAAATCCTTCAATAGACGTAGACCTTAATAGAAAAATAACAAGATAAATAGACAAATAAATAATTAACAACAATAGTTCTGGATAAATGAGGTAACACTAGACTAAACTGAATTATTTAACATAACTGATGCAAATCCTAGTCTTAATTGAAGAAATTTCACTGAGTGATTGAAAGCTTCCCCTTGCGTTTCCCTCAGTGTTTTTGTAAAATATGCAAATGCTTCAGTGGAATAATCTTTTCTAGTCATTGTTACACAGACGAATCATTAAAGCAGCAATTATGTTTTCCAGCTCGTCTTTTGGAGACTGATGATGTCTGTCATTAGGCATCTTCTCATCTCAGTCATTATCTTCCACAGATGTGCAGTGATTCAATACACAGACATCTGTCATGTAACGAGTCAGGAATAAAAAACAGTTACAGACAGAGGAGAAATGTCCTGTTACAGTGAGAATGAAATTTATCAAAAAAATGCAAAATCAGCACCTTCTGAAAAACTTGTTTTAAAATAGTCTCATCCAGTCATGATCAGGTGGCACACACACCAGCGCTTTCTGCTTATCCAGACTTGCTGAAAAAAAGTTAAGTGTTTTTCATGCCGCTCTGTACTGTGAGCACTACAGCAAAGAAAACAGTGTTGGGGAAAACCTGCTTTTGAATAACCTCAAGTTCATTTGCAGAATACAATAGAAAAAAACTACTGAATGTGACCGTATGATCAGTGTTTCTGCCATTTAACTGTGAGGCTTTGAGGAGTGTGGCACATATTGAGCTGATGATCGTGTGCTCCGGGGAGCAGTAATAAGGGGCATGAAGGGACCATGTTACAGAGAGCACTAAAATTTAGGAGGAGAAAGAGCCTGAAATGCATGTCTTGTTCAACCAGAGGAAAGCGGATATTTCGAAGGGGTGTGCTCCAGAGGTCGGCACATACTGCAGTTTAGGGGAAAGGCCGCACGGTAAACTAGTGAAGTGTTTGAGTCTTGCTGTGATAAACAAGTGGATAAGAGCTTCAGATTGCAAAGGAAAAGCAGTACTATTTTTTTTTTTTAAGCAATTTTTGAGTCATCTTTTCATCACGCAACACAAATAAATGGACCTACCAGATTAAAAGAAAAAAACTAATTTCACTGACTCTGACAGTCACCTTTTACTCAGCGATGTTCGAAAATCATGAGAGCCCGATCAGTGGCAACTAGCTGATGGTATAAAGATCAGAAAAGCAATGGCATGTAGGAATGTGAATGTATTGATAGATGTGTAGTGGCTAACAAATTGAGAAAAGCTAATATAAGCTTGAATTTAAAAGCAGTTCCAACTCATTTTCATGGCACAAGGAAGTAAGAGACATGCCACTTTTAGCTGACCCAACACCTGAAAGTGCTCCTGCAGTGTCAGCCTGCAGTCTGTGATGTCATGCAGTAAAGTTAAAGGTGCTGAAGATATATTCTTACCAGCAATGGGCCCCAGCAAACGCAGGACACCAACATGATGGCCAGGAGCTGGCAGATCATCTCTATGTGGTAAGACGTGCTTCTGCAGTGATTCTTGCGGCACAGTTTGGCCTGCAGCAGAGCACAGCTTGTCAGAGTATTGCATACAATGGAGAGCAGCAGGGCCAGTAGCCCCAGCATAGAGAAAAGCAGAGGCAGGAATACATCCAGCCAGTCTTTGGGTTCTTCCATGTGGAAGAAGCAAAAGCTCCTGGATTTCTGAACCTTGTAGGACCTCAACAGCAGCACAGGCAGCACAGCCACCAAGGCAGCGAGCAGCCAGATGAGACCCAGCAGCCTTTTCATGTGGCGGGGCGCTAACACAGTGGAGTGGAAGATGGGCCTGGTGATCCCAATGCACCGCTCCACTGCCATGGCACATCCCAGGAATAAGGGGCTCAGGCCAAAGAACACCATGCACGCCCCAAAGAAGCTGCATACGATGCGGTGAGGGTCAAACGTCTCCCAGTTCTTGTGAGAGCTGTAAACAAAGATCACCAGGGAGCCGATGATGAGGTGACCCAGCAGGTCTGTGACCACCAGGCTGCTGGCATACAGCACGAAGGACGCTCTGGACTTGATCCGGATGCGGTTGTAGGATTTGACCAGGATAAAGAGGGCGAGGCTGTTGGAGAAGATGCCCACGGTCATGGAGACGGCGGAGGCCGTGATGGACAGTTCCCTCTGGCTGCAGGTGCTGTTGCTGGGTCTGACTTCTGACCTGCAGCCTGACACTGAGCTCTCATTGGTTGACATGGTGGAAATCAAATCTGAAGGAGAGGGTGAATGGAAGATGAGCTGTAATATTCGTTTGTATCAAAATACTGATTTGGAATTAAACTTCTGAGGCTTTAAAAAAAAAAAGGCTTTTTAAAATTTAATCTGGCGACAGATTTACTTCAGACGTGCTTACTTCAACCAGAACTCATGGATTGTGAAAGTGTTTACAACATTTCTCGATACAGTTGACATTCACTTCTGAGTGTGACTTACTTTGCGACACTGACGCCTATTTTCCATCACTGCTGTAGCTTAACTACCGAGGTGCAATTGAAAACACGTCAACATTGGTGAGAAAACACATTCTTTTACTCTGAAAAACTTCCCAGACTCTCGGAAATCTGCTCCAAATCCCGTCACTTTGGTTAAAGTAATGAAAATATCTGGTGCAGTTTCTTACCTCAGTTTCGGTCTTCTCTCGCACAACTCGCCATAAGTCAGCAGCCCCCTCACTCTCCGGCTTCTTTAGTAGTCAATAAAACAAAGTGACGCCTCGTCAGCCCCGCAGTATTAATGCCACTAAACGTCCCCGAGACCGCTCTCCTCGATCCTCCTGCAGAGGCGACGATCTGAGCCACTTTGCTCCGTGTGCGCTCAGCTGGTGCCAAGTTTCAGTGAGAGCGAACAGACGCAGACTCATCAGTTTAAACTCAAACCCACCTCACAGGCTGCACACATCTGTCGCATCCTGCAAACACACCGGGGCTGGGGGTTACAAAGAAAATGACGGTTTACAGATAAACTCGCTGTCAAAAGAATAGGCATGGCGTTAATTCATATAATTGCGCATGATTGTGCTACTTAAAAAGTACCCTATTGTATTATACAATAGCCTATATAATTTTCTCCCAGCACTGTTTATTTTCTGTCGTTCTGTGTTGTTTGATCACCCTGCTGCTTGTGTTTGCACTGCAGAAACAGGTTATCAACTTCCTATGGTGTCCTAAGCACACTTTGTGTCTGTGACAGCATGAGGTCACTGCTCAAGTCATTCTCTTTGTGCAGTGCAATATAAGAAAAACAAAACATTTAGATTTTTTCTTTTTCCAGAAAAAGATTTGGGAAAGACTCATCATCTACTTGTTCATTCATTATCCAATGGTAAATTTCACTACTAAGCTGGAATTTGATATCAAAATATTAAAATGTGTTGTTTCTTTGTAACACAAAGACATTTGTTTTATTCTGATGGCTTGGATTTGACGGAGTGCTGGGCTGTGTTTCAAAGCAATGTCCTTTTATCAAGGCAGTCACACCTTTAGTTTTTTTTCTGGTGGCAGTTGTTTTGAACATCCTCAGGCTATGCAGCCACTGTGATAAGAAAAAGGACGGGGGCAGGCGTGCTTCTTTTCAAAAACAGATGCTGGTTTTACTAGTTCACTTGTTGCTGATGGCGTTTATTTCCAAAATGTGTATTTGATCCTTTTTTTATCACCTGTGTGTGTTTTCTTTTTTTTTTCTGATTTCATAAAGATGAATAAAGAGCTTTTAATATAAACTGTGACGTGGGCGTTGCTTTCTGGAGACCAACAGGCCTGAGGTGTTACAGGCACTTCTGTTCGTACTTAGTCAACAAACAGCATTTACACTTTATATTCAGGCCTCAACGGGCTTCTGTCCTCTGTGAGGAAGGATCAATGATCCTGATGTCCAAACACATGTGCAGAAAAGGTTTACATTACACATTTTCTCTTGTTCTGGTTTTATTTATTAAAAGTGATTAAATTACATCATTTTAAACTATTAGGGCTTTTTTTTTCACCTGGCTGCTCCACTGAAATCGTCTCTTTGTCTAGGAAGACCTGGGTAAGAAAGCAGCTCAATTCACAACCACCTCTAGTCCGTCAGCAAGACTAGAGGCATTTATGAATTGAAATGCGATAAAAGTCACATAAGGGTTCATAAATGCAGAAAGGTCAGGGGCAAATACATGTCCCTCTAAACTAAATGAAGCAAATAGAGCTCCTTACTCAGTCTGACCCAGCAGAGACCAAATCACCGACGAGGTAATTAGAGAGGAGGACTTACACATAAAAGTTTACCCTTGAATGGAGATATGCATGAACATATAATCCATATAATCATATTCAGAAAGGGTTGACTAAAGGATTAAGTGGAGCATTCTCCTGGAGCATCATTCAATCATTCTTCCTTGTAGGCTTGGGTCCATCCCTGCATGCACGTCGTTTTCTATAGAAAAATACGCATCTCCACATTCGGTTACTTTGGATTTTTCTGAGACAAATTAAAGGATGAGGAGGTTTTTAAAGGGCCGAGAAACATCATCTACTTCTAAAGCTAAATAAACCCATAAAAAACTACCTAACTTGGTTGGTCCTCCTGTGGACAATTGAATTGATTGGACGTAGTTTAGAAAGGCACAGAGCAGTGTATATAAGGATCCACAAGTCACATCAGGACAAAAACCGAGTGATGTTTAAGGCACTTTATTTAAAGCAGCATAATAAAACTGGTGAGACATATTCCAGGAACACAGTGACCTCACTACTTTTGAAATGGAAGAAGTTTGAAACCACCAGGGCTGTTTCCAGAGTTGGCTGTGTCAGCCAAACTGAGTAACCCAGCAAGGAGAACACAACAGTCACTGTAACAGAGCTTCAGAAATCCTTGGCAGAGATCGGAGAGCCGGCTGGGGGGACGACCACCTCAGCAGCGCTCCATCAATCAGGCCTTTCTGGTCAAGTGGCTGGACAGAGGTCACTTTGAGTTGAAATCATATGACAATTTGCTCCCAGCCCTCTTTCTCACCTCCTTTTTTTGCTCTTCCTTCCTTCTCTAGTGGGACTGTATCTGTTTTTTTTTTTTTTTGTTTTTTTTTTTACTTTTTTACATTTTATCATCAAGTTTATCATCACACTTGCAAGTGGGGCTGTTACAATCCGACAGAGTTTCAGTTGCTCTATGCAGAGATATGATGTGATGTCCTTGAGGAGATCACAATAAGACATTACTTTGCAGCTGTGTCTTGATATGTTTGATACATTAAGTACACAGACTCACATACCTCTTATATTTTCTAATTTTTTCCACTACAGCCACTCACATTGCCCACTCCATATCTCTCCCTAAATTGTATTTTTGGCAAGTTTCCATTCGACACAAACTCGATTTTATTGTGGAGATTCTCTCTTCCGACAACAAAGCATAACCATCCATTTGCAGTTGTTGTTTACATGCTCTTAAGGGGCTGGCTGTTGTACCTCTGCCCTGGCTTTGGGAACAACTTACAATCCAGGCAAAATATGTCTGAGTGATATTTTGTCTTTTAACAGGGAGGAAAGTTTGAGCCTTCACATGATGATTTTGTGATTTCTCTGATGAGGAAGCCAAGTCGCTGTCATACTCCACATTCTCCAAGCCTCCTCAATCACAACAAGGAGCAGATGTCAGCAACAGGAAAAAAACATTTTCTGGGAGAGAAAAAAGCAGCAGAAAGAATGAAGTAGCTGCACACATGCATTTCAGAGCATCGGTTAATGTCCTTACAGTAAGAGTGCAGTCGTGGACCCTCTAAGCCTATCACTCCCATAGACTTCAGGGCCACCATATTGATTGATATTGTCTCCTGACCTCAGCCCAGTGCCGGGAATAACTTCACCAAACGCTTCCTGAGTATTGGATGTGGTGTGAGGCATCTGAGTTTGATAACCTCTTGGTCACACTTCAGTCTGAAAGCAAATGACGCTTCATCCAAGTGCGTTTCATCATCCTCAACATAGTCTAGAAATTGAACTGAACTAAACATTATTTTGTAGTATTTTGCATGGGTGTGTTCTGTTGTAGTCACAGTCACCCTTTTCATCTTGTATATATTTTAAACTTAATTTCATTTCTGACCATAATGTCCCAGGGTACTCACATTAAGCTTCAATTAATCATCTGCGTGGCAAGTTAGATTTGACACACTGGAATAATTTTAAAAAAAAAATCCCAGTTGATGCTCCAACCTGGGTGACTTTAATGCTTCATCATGCCTGAAGTTTGAAGAAATGCTGACTTATTTCCATCCTCCAAAAGGTAATTTCCTCTGTAATTTCTTGCTCAACAGAAGTTGTGTCAAATGTCCTCTTCACTCTCTATTGCCTTTTCTTTCAGCAATTACGGCAAAGTGGAGAGAAGAGTGAGGAGAGACAGAAACAGGGTCGATCTAGTGTACTGTATGCATTTCATACATTGTGTTTTTCATTGGAAATATTGGAAACGTGTATTATCAAAATACGATTTTGAGCTATTACATGTTACTACTCTTTGCTCATAAACTGACCAGACAACCTCTACTGCTTCTGTCATGTGAGATAAATATAAATAAATAAATAATAATATAAATATTTTGTTCTCTGGCAAAATATAATCTTAGTGAAAAACTACAAGATAGTTATATTGTGTATTAAATCTTTGCTTTTCCTTTTTGCTGTGAAATCAAAATCCCATTACATTTCCTCCTTGAAAACATGATTATCTGTCTTTTTTTCCCCCATTATATTGAATGATGAATCCCTGCAATATTTCCTGTTTCAACAAAAAATACAAAATTCAACAAACAAATTGACTTCAGTTCAATTCAGTTCAACTTACTTTGTTTGTCCAAAAAGTGAACAACACACACAAAATTTCATAGACACAAACAATTTTAGATGAAATGGCTTTTGAGGCCAACAAGGCTTTCGTCTGTAAAAAGGCCAATCAGAGACTGTGCTTCTTGAGAAACGACTTTTAATGTTAAAAAAGTTCTATCCATCTTTTATTGAGTCAGTTTTACCTTTTGCAATGACCTTGTTTGTTTGGGAACCTTAGCATGGTTGACAAAAATTGGCTGGGAATTAATGTTAAACTAACTTGAATTATCTCGGACATGTTTATCAAGTATGAGCCACTCAGAGGGCAAAGGTCATTTTGGCAGACCCCAATCACCCTCTTCATACAGACTCCTCCCATCAAGAAGCAGGTATGCTCTCCCTAGGAACAAGTTGTTGGTCTAGTTGTCATTGCAATTAACAAATACTCATGGACTGCTTCACATCTTACTGTAATTTATTATGATAAAAGCTATTGTACTTTAGACGGTTTCTATCTATTTATTGTAGTACTTTATCTATTTAAACCAAATTCCCCCTCAGGGACGATAAAGACTTTCTTTCTAATCTAAATATTACAAAAAAAAAGTTCAAAGAAAGTGTTGACTGCAGCTGTCAAAGACACTTTATGTCAGAGAGTGTAAATGCATGAATCCATCTATGCAACTGACAAATTGCCTCAGCTGTTCACAAGTCTCCTGGCTTCTGGAATAAAAGCTCCTTCTGTTTGTTTCTACACACAGAGTATCTGCGGTGATTCTACTGAATCACCATGCAGCAGCCAATGACTCAGTCTCTTCACCAGTTACATTCTAAACAGCAGATAAAAGTTGGTTTTTCTTTGTTTTTCACATGAACTGAATTTCTAAGTCTGT